ATTTATTTGTGCGGAATTTGTTGTTGGGGGCAGCCAAACTAGTGCAGCTTAAACGCCGTGCTGGGGTTAAGCTTGCACAACAACAATGCCCGGCAGCTGGCAAGGTTAGACGGCAGAACAATAGACATGACCACAGACGGCGGCGGCAACTGCAGCTGAAGCTGGGGCAACAAATTCTAATATTGTCATTGTTATTGTTTTTGTCTTTAGCCGGACTTAGCAACCGAGGGCACACGCACTCCAGTTGACTCCAAATTGAGTTGTGAGCGAGCGAACGTAAAAACTGAATAAAAATGGGCTCAAATTGAGAGTGCGCGACGAGAAAATACCCTCAGCCCAGAAGAAGAAGTCTATACACACTTGAATACCAAAACTCAAGGCGTTATCTTTAAAAATTGAATTTTTGTTTTGGATCAGTGGTGCATGGTGAAAAGTAAAATATTCTATTCAAGAACTTAGATAGAAAGAATCTTCGGGCATTTGTAGCTTTTATAGAATCAGCCATCAATATCGGCAATAACAGGACACGTAGGGTAATTTTAAAAACCAAGCCTTGTCAAATGGAGAAAGTTTAAATAATAGTTAGTTTAAATAATAGTTACTTTTGCTACGACAGCAGTGTAAGATGTTGTCGTCTTTTCAGCCGGATGATGACACCAGCTCCACAGAGAGGTCTGTCCAGATATGTTTAAGAAACCGAGAATAGAAATCAATATAAATCGAACACATTTGAAGTTTTTAACTGTTCAAATCCCGGAGATTTAAGCCGTCAGACAGGCAGTCTAACACCGACTCGCTTTATCAGTCGACGATGCTTTTTGTCTGCCCTCGACTTTTAATGGGTGCAGAGTATAAAAACTGCAGTCAGTGCCATTGGAGCGCCGAGCGCCGAGCGCCAATGCGACAAAAGTCAAGTGCTGCACGGGGAGCCCAGCAATAGACGATGGACGATGGTCCTTTAGCCTTTTGGGAGATATGCGCTGCGCAGTGCAAGAATATTTATGGCCGCTGACCAGGCAGCTAACGGGCGGGCGTCTTTTGCCGTAAGCCGTTTAAGGTTCAACATGCCTCAATGCAAGCGCATGTGCCGGGTCAATTGTTGCAGCCAACGTGGCGCATGAGTGTTATGCATAGTTGCAACACAGTTGCAGGAAAGTTGATGAACGAAACAACATGAAAGAACAGGTGCCTGCGGCACGCCGAAAATTAAATATCCTTTTATACATTGGGCTTACGATGTGGCCAAGAATTGTGGAGCTCATATTTTAAAATATATCATGAAAAACAAAAAGTTTTTCATACTAAAACTCAGCTGTCGATAGATTAGCGCCATAATATATAGTAGTACAATATTAATAAGATATATCATATGTGAGGCTCTTGATCGAAATTTTGAAAAAAAAAAACAAAATTAATTATGCTGTAACTTAACTTTGGACCGATCTACCCTATCGCAGCTATATAGTCATAGATGATTCGATCCGGGCAATTCCCACATATATACTGTCCTAAATAGACAGACATATGCAAACTTTCTTTATCGACTCGGCTGTTGATACTGATCAAGAATATATATACCGTAGGTGGGCGTAGAAATGTTACACATTCCGTGATAAAATCATAATACCCTCTAAAAGGGTATAAAAAAACACTCAATTGAAATATGCCACAACAAGAAGCACAACAACTGCAACAAAACGCAGCAGCCAAAACCAAACTAAACAAATAAACAGCTCTAACTATGCTTTTTGGTTGGTTTGACATTGTGTATACAATTTGCAGTGTTGAACAACACACGAGAGTAAAACATGAATCTTGTATGTGTATTGTGTTGTGTTAAATAATAAATTATGCCAGCTACATGACGCACAAATTATATTACACAACATTAAATTGCGAAATTTAGTTCGGCTTGTGATATTGAACGACATGAAAATAATTGATTCCTGGAGCTGAGACCAGCCAAATGAAGCTCTAAGCGATTTATTAAGCTTTAATATATGATATTCCCAGGCTCAAGACAAGCTAAGGTTGCAAATACAAATATTTTGTTAATCCTTAAGAGTGTGATACTCCTAGTCTAAAATCTCAAAATTATTTAGCAGATATCTCTGTTGTGAAATTAATCATGCTCTAGTAAAGCTGACCTCACCATCTAATGGTTACTTTCGCTCATCAAAAACCATTTTGAAGAATATTTTAAAATCATTTTCTGAGAAAATGGACTACCGATTGCGCATAATCCACATTAACCCTATACTCATTAAATAACATATAGATAAAGGCATGTTGTTACGATTTGCTGATATATACTTAAAATAGTTTAGATGTACAGAAGAGTAGTTTATTTTCCAGATCAACATTTACTTGAACATTTTTGATGAGCTCACCTTGAAAACTATAAACACTAGAGACATCAAATTAATATGAATAATCTTTTACGCCATTGGTAAGGGACTGTCAACGAATAATAATTAGCCGAACAAGTCGACACAAGATAAGATAGAGAAGAGGCAATCAATTAAATGGAAAGCTAAGCAGCAAGGAAACAATCCAGGAAAATAAATAAATAAATAAATATATGAGAACACATTTGTATCATTAACGGAATTTAATTAGCCTATTGTATAAGCTAATATCACTAACTGGTTATTACACATTTGCATCCCGTTTATATTTGAATACATCCCCAGCCCCATGTGTATATTCGATAGTGTTATAGATAAGAACACTTAGTTTTGCACGTAGTTTTTCTACTAAAATCCATTAAAATAAGTTTGAATCTAACAATCCATTTTTGCTTTGAAGCATGTGGCATATGTGAATTATCATAATCATATTTATTTCAAATAGCTTCTAGCGATTCTCTAAGTATCACTTCACTGCACTTCAATCACTTTTTTGAGCTCAATCTATTTTTTACATCTTGAACGCAATTAAAAAGGCGTATATTGCAAATGTTTGTAAGTAAAGTATCTCCGACCCCATAAAGTACATATTTTATTGACGAGTATAACGGGCTGATTCGATTTACACAATTTCATCTATTCGTACGGCCGAACGTCTCGGAAAAAATGAAATTAAATCATTATTATTTTAAATATATATATTAAAATTTTAAATCAATATTTGTTTTTCAACATGTTTTTTTTTAACGTAACTCGAAGATTATGAAAGATCGAGACGCCAAACTTTCTATGTAGTTTTTCTTATTCTTGTCAAAGATTTGGGTGACACAATTGAACACTGAAATTTTCAAAAAGACAATAAACACCGGACAATAAACACCGAAGCTACAATTCAAGTATACATTTCGCACAGTGTGGGGCGAAGGAAAGAAGCGCAGCTGTTTCCTACGCAGCTTCAATATGTGTGTGTTTGTGAGAGTATATGTATAGAAGGAATCTTAAATGTCTGTAGCGGCAGCTTGGCGCTCAGTTAAGGGTATCTCCTAGTCGGACATGTTTGATATTGTAAATTTTGAATATCTATATTGCCAGTTAGATCTAGTGCTAGAGTATCTACCACTAAATACTTCTTGTTTACGTTGAGAATTTGATGCTGCAGCACATCTACAAATTACTCATTCCCTGACTAAATGCACTTTGGAATAGGACTCGTTGCTGCGTTCACTAATCGTATATTTGTCAGTGGCACACACGCAACACACCTCACACTCTGGGCAACTATTCCATTTCCATTTAGAATCGATGGCTTGGCACAATGGCGCATTACTTGCGCTGCATTTCAAGGTTTTACAAATTGGCAGCACTTACGTGTGCACTCGGTTCGCGCGTTGTTTACAGCAATTACTAATGAAAATAAACGTATATCAAGCTAATTAAACAATAAAAGCGCAAGAGCGCTGCCCCAAAAGCAAACGTAATAAAAAGAGTGCCGTAGTTGTATAAGTCTAAGATGTCCGACTAGGAAATACCCTGTGAATTATGCAATCGAATTTGTTGTCGTACAAAATATAACAGTACAACACTATGCGCTTACTATGCGCTTCTTCTTCCTTATACCTATGCATTTCTAAATAACTACTTGATCTTAATATTCTTGATATGCGTACGCTCGTATTAAGCCAAGCCAAATTTGGTAGCTCTGTCTTCTTAAAAAACAAGGCAAGAAATCGATGTTTATGGAATTTAAAATAAACTTTAAATGCGTATGCTACACAAAAACCTTAATTCTAAATCTGCTGTTTTTTTACTCTGACAGGAAATCGATAGTTATCGAAACAAGATAAGCTATCGATAATTTAAAATAAACCTTAACATACATTCCAGGTCTGTGCCTAGAGAGCTAGAGACTGCTCTTGATCGACTTAGTTCATTGTCTCAATCAGCTCATTAAACCCCATGTTAGTCACTTTCAATGGGTATAGGTATTAAAAACGCGAAAAACGGAAGGTAAATGGAAGGCGAGCACGCGGGCGCGCGCGTCCATAGGAAATTTAGCAAATAAGAATGAAACACTGAGGGGCGTCTGCGTGGGCGTTGGCGTTTGTGTGGGCGTGTCTGTGAATCTGTCTTTCACGCTGACGCTGACGCTGACAGCTGACAAACCCGCGAGACTCGCGCGCGCGCTCTCGGAAGTAGGCAACAAAGACGACGCGACGCCGTGGCACAGTGATGTTGCAATTTAATTTGTATTGTTGTGCTGTTGTTGACGCTGCTGCTGCTGTTGACGTCTCTTGTTATTGTAGTTGTTGTTGTTGTTGTAATCTTTGTTGTTGTCGACACAATTGCATCCGCATCAGGTTGATGATGATGATGATGATGAATCCACTTAAGCGCCCAGGCACAGGTTGCAAATGCGCACAGCAGTCGTCTAATTGAACAGCAAAGGGACGTGTACAAGTACAGCAGGTTGTGTGCACGTGTGTGTGTGTGTGGGTGTGTGTATGCATATTCGTGTGCTTTTAAGCAAAGGCAACACAACACAGACACACACACACACACACAGGGAATGCAAGTGACAAATGCTAATTCTCCTTTCGTTTAATTTCATTTTATTGCCTGGCAGCTAATTCAATTGGCTTTTCAACTTATTTCGACATGTGTGTGTATATCCGTGTATGTGTGTGTGTATTAAACTTGATTGAAATGCAAAAACGATCCACTTCACAGCAATGCAATTGTTGCACGCTAATCGCGGCACATACGCTTCGATGGAGGCTCCTCATCGCCGGGCGCAATCGACTGCAACAGCGCGCAGCTCGTGTGGCTGCCAAATAGCGTAAGGAGCAAGGCGACGCCGTAGCCCGTGGCGCGTTCACCCTGCCAGAGAGAAATGCAACGAAACAATTGTATGAGTACGGGATTTCCATTTAGGACTAGCACAATTACTTACACAATTCACGGGCGTGGCCATATCAACATGCATCCAAACGCCGGGATAGTCGAAGCCCAAATGAGCAGCCACAAAGAGGCCGGCGCAGGAGGATTGCGCATTCTGGCGATCCTGCAAGTCAAAATATACAGAAATTAAGTTAGATAGGGGCGTAAAAAGTGTATAATATAACACAAGTAAAAATTTTGTGCTCGAATACCTATAGAAAATATTCACACAAACACACACGTTTCTGCTGGGTACTAAAAAAAATAGCCCAGTGGATGTATCCATGTCTGTCAGTCTCTCTGTTTCTTTTTCTTTCTTTTAACCACAGGCAGCCTAAATGTCTAGGCGGATCGAACCCTTATAGCATATAGCTGCCATAGAAATCACCGGTACAAAATTAATTCCTTGTGTTAAAATTTTTTTTTGTTAGGATATCTTTACTAAATTCGACTTTTATTTATTTCACTACCTTCATTAGCGCTTTCAAATCACATCGGAGCATCTATATAAATAGGTTAACGCAGGTTATTGTTATTGTAAAATGCATGTTTTTCTTGATATTTTGACCAAAGTCAATATTTACTAGCTTCACTATTCTTCTTACATATCTGCAAGGCCGCATCAAATCGAAGTTCTTTATTATGTGGTTCCTATAGAAATAATTGGACGAACACATTTTCTAAATGCTTGCTTTTACACATTGCCACAACTGTTGCAACATCCGTTCTACGCACTTCATGTTTACAGGGTATACGCAAAATAAAAATGCAACAAGTAAAAGTTAGCAGCAACTTCGATATTAAAAAGTATCCTGCAGTGCAGCGCAGCAAGAAAATATATAAATATATGCTGAGACATACACAAGCACATATACACATGGCATATACATATATAAATATATCTCTATATAGATGTTAAGATGTGCTAATGCCTAAATTATATGCCAGCTACCAAGTAACGGAAACTGTCGCTCTACTAACTTGAGCGGAAATTACAACGCTTAAATGGAAAACATAAAGTACCATAGTTGACAATGGGCCAAATTGAGTTATTTGCAGATATATTTTTAATTTTCCAAGTTGCGAAACAAAATTGATAGTTAATATTAAACAAATAGAATTTTCTTTAAAGCATGTGTTGTAAAACTAAATGATACGCTTTGCTGTATGAAAAAATGTTTAATCAAAAAGTTGACATCATTTAAATACGATTTACATGTTGAGCCAACTCCGTCTTTGGGTTCTGTACATAATCCTACCCATATACCCTAATTTTTTTATATTTTTAAAATTTTAGGTAAAACAATTTCTACTTTTATTATGCAGTCTGACAACCTTAGGTTTGATTGATAAATCCAACCCATTCTATGCTCAAACAAACTTATATCTTTCTTTTGACTGAGCTGTTTTTTCGGCAGCTGGTATTGTAAAAAAGTATGATTTTAAACAATAAAAAATTTGAATTTTGGTCAAGAAACGATTCAATTCACGCCCGGTTTGCAGCTTTATTTGTAATGTGTCCGCGGAAGTACATAGTACCCAGAAAAATATAATATGATTGAGAAATATATAGAAAACAAAAAGAGACACGTCTTGAATTGAACCAAAATGAATACACGTAAAATAAATGGATACGTCTTTTAAAGTTATGTATCCTAGTTTGTAATTACAAACTACGCCAATAAAAATTATATATATAAATATATGAAAATATTAAAATATAACGATTTTGAATTTTCTGTTCTTATTATTAATTCCGCAAAGACCTAGATTTTTGTGTATTTTTTTCGAGAATGTGCATTGATGGCCCACTGTGCAGCACATAAATATATAAAAAAGAAACCAAGACACACGCACATATACTCTTTACACACTCGGCCAAAAAGAAAACGTCCGACTGTATTCAGCAGCAGACAGGACAACCAGCGGAACAACAACAACAAGATTAACAGGAGATGCCTTGCACTGAATATTGCATGACAACGCTTGGTAGTCAAACACACACGCTCACACAACACACACACTCACACTTGCATAGATAGAGGCAGCACGAAAAGTCTTTCGTCATGCAGCGGAAGTTAAAAGTCTATTCAAGCCAACGATTGCTGCCGCATATTGTCGTTGTTGTTGTTGTTGTTGGTGTGTTAGTTGTCGTTGTTATCATTGTTGATATTGTTGTTGTTATTCTTATTGTTATCGATGTTTCAACTGCTTTTGGCGGTTTTAGCTAACAAACTTGAGCCTGCCTTTGTTATCAAACTTGCCGCAAAACTTGAAAATGTATTGGGCCAACTAACTCCCAGACCACTCGCAACTTGTTTAGATTTTGTTGTTGAATGTACGAATTAAATGTAATCGTTTCTGTTAGTTTTATAAAGTTTTATGCGCCTTCCCAAAATAGTCCAATTAAAATTTTGCGATGCATTGTGAATGACTTTCTAATTGAATTGCTGATAATTAACAAACACGTTTCATAAGCTGTCAAATATGAGCAAACACGATTTAAGGATACCTTCGACCTAGATTGTGATATAACACTGCCAAATTTCGAAGAGTATAATGTAATGTCCATGGATTTGTTGTCATGTTTATGTTGATCTAATGTTATATTTAAGTCCTAAATAACTATACTAAAGTATGGAAACAATTTTTAAAGAATAAATAATCTATAGATTAAGTGCTATATAGAAAATTTGTCAAAAATTTTTCTGAAAAATAAATATTGGAAAAGTTATATTAAAAATTATTTTATATTATTATTATTAAATATGCTGTGTCAATATTAAAAGGATTTGAAACTCCAATAAAACAGTAAAAATCAACTATATTTATATATCAGCTTCAAGCCTTTATTCTTGTAAAAACAAATCTGTGATTATTATAAATATCTCATTTAGACTGATGCACAGATTATATTAGGTATCAATTCTCCTCAAATAATATTTTATTTATGTGAATTTAAAGATCAGTGTTGCAAAACTATCAATAGTATCACTGGCGCGCTGACACAATCGATTGTTCGGTGACTATCGCTAGAGATTAAATTTACAGTGGGGGAAGCTACAATGACCCACATAATAAATCTCTTTCAACTGAATTATGAATCGTTTATTACACGCATTTTACCTTTATTTGAAGGATATTAAAAAGGACATCTGCTTTTTTCAAACATTTTTATATGAACTAATCAGAAAACTACTTTTGATTATTGACACGCCCACTATCGATAGTTCTTTAGCATTAAATTCAAGATGTTTTAAGCCTTGTTCATTGTTATCGACTATAAAACGGGTCACCTTGGCGCGTATGCCTCCCGTGTAGTTAATTTTAATTAAAGGCTTTCAACAATTTGCTCAATACGATTGGTCTGGGCTTAGACACATTCGGCCAGTGCTGAAATCAGCTCAGTCAACCGACTGCCAATGCGGCCTATGCGCTTTCATCAATAATGGCAAACATTTGTCAACGTAATGTCATTAGCATTGATTGCATTACGCAACGCATTGATTGTGTGAACCTTTTGTAAATAGCCGAATAGCTAGGCAAAAGCGCACACCCCATCCACACCCAGCCACATATGAAGTCTGGCAATGGGTCGGCGACTAATTGCGGTTAGCTACGTGACCAAACCCAATGCCTCATGCCCCGTGCCCCGTGCCCCATGCCCCACACTTCTGTCACACGCGCCACGTGTGTCACATACCAGAATCAATGGAAATTTTTGAGTTGATGCCATCCGTTGTGGAAAGCGCTCGCTCCATTTACGATTAACGTAGATTTTAATTAGCAGGCAAAATAAACGTGCCTCATTCCTATATCTAGGTAAGCTATCACCAAATAGTATAGAATATTCCACGCCTTTATTTAGAAATCCTTCGCTAATTAACAATAATTCAATTAAATAACATAATTAAAATTTAAGCCGGAAATATACATCAACTCTCAGACATAGTAGAAGCGAGAAGCAAAGTGAGTAAAACAAAATAAAACGCAAACCGAACAGCAAATCATTTAGTGTAAAGAAGTAAACAAGAAGCAAAGAAACAAGAGAAGTTAGAAGCACAATAAGCTGCAAAGAAAGTAGCAAGGCGTAAAGCAATGTAAGAAATAAACAAAAAGCTACGTAAAAAGATAAGTGAGCAACAAAATGAACAAGCAGAGCGCTATTAAAAAATGCAAAGGTTAAGCGAAGGAATAAATGCCAAAAAGTAAAGGGAGATGCGAAGCAAAATAAGCTAAGAGCAGAAATGGGAGAAGCGAGGCAAAAACTAGTCTATGAGCAGAAAAGGGAGAAGCAAAGCAAAAAATAAAGCCAAGACCAGAAAAGGAAGAAACAAAGTGAAAAATTAAGCCCAAAAAAATTGAACTGAAAACGGAGAAGCAAAACAAGAAATTAAGCTAAAAGCAAAGCAAATGAGGAAACGAAGCAAAAAATTGAGCCTACAGCAAAGCTAAGGAAGTAGCAAAGAAAAAAGAAGCTGAAAGCAAATCGAAGGGAGAAAAGAAGCAACAAATTTAATTGAAAACTAGCGAAGGAAGAAGAGACGCAAACAAATGAAAATTTAAACAAAACGAAGACAGAAGTAAAGCAAGAATAGAATATAAAAGGAATAGAAGTAAAAACGAATCGAGAACCAAAAAAAGATTAGGTAAAAATAAAAAAGGAAATCTAAGCGATATTTAAAATAAGAAGCAACACAAAAAAGAAACTAACTAGGAAAATTAAACGGAAGCGAGGAGTATGAATAAAAACTAAAAATTTGGGTGAAATGCTCATTATTTTCCACTCTATTACTCCTTTTTTTTCAGATAGAAATCAACACTGAAGATGTTTTTCTTACAAAAATAACCGGAATTTAGTCGATGTTTGCTCAAATTAGAGGGATCGTTAAATCTTTAAAGCAGCAACACTTAAACTTAACATGATGCTTGAAGAAGATGATATCAAGACTTGCCACACTTTTCGCGTGCCTTGCACTGAAACGGGCGCAAATGTGCGGGCGCCTCAATGCCTCGGGGCATCAATGTATTGGATTCCTTTGACTGGTTTCAGTATCAATTATACATTCATCGAATGGGCGTCAGAAGGATTTGCACAGGCTGAGTGGGACGGCTGGGACGATG